TTCTTAGTTCTTAGGTATATGGCTTAGCTTTTAAATCTATGATTTGTTTTCTTCGTATCTGTATTTCCAGGTAAGGCCACAGCAAGTAAATTTTATGGATGGCATCCTCCAAGTCTACTGCGAGCGTGCGAAAAAAAACAAGGTGGGCCGAAAATAACAAGGCTCCTACAATGTAAAATTTTGACTTAATCATTGTACAAATGGTTTTGATTCAGTAGGAACATCACATATACGCAGCCAGCATCACATATCACTGCATCAAAGTAAGAAACAAAACATTAAATCAGAGCCTTTTCTTGTCTCCTCTCTGCCATCCACCTTTCGGCATGGCAGCAGACACCTTTGCCCATTTTCGGCATGTTGACTAATGTCAGAAGGCAACACATTTTCTTGTTTTTTTTTTTCAAAATCAGACGAAAATTAATGCGGGCGTGGATGTCATCCATAAAATTTATGTGTTGTGGCCTAACGAAATAAAATGATTCGACACACCCGTGGCGTGTGTGTTGTCTATCAACAACTGTTGTGTAACGTTGATGATAACATTGCTTTTAATATGATATATTAAATTATTGCGAACATTAGAATATTTTGTTGATGATTAGTGCCACATGCGTACCTCACATCCCTCGGTACTCCACAGTTGTTGATCGTTGTCGAAGAAAAGACAGGCGGAGGTGAAGATCTGGAGTGTGTAGTTCATGGTGAAGTTTACTCCACCATATCCCAGTTCCAACGCTTTTGACAAATCACCCCAAATCACTGTGTCATCGTTGGTGTCGATGTCATCTGTAAAAGGCTCGTGGTCCACGCCTTAAGTAAAGAAGAAACCCTATTAAACATATGTTATCTCTCCTGAAAGGGGGAGAGTAAAGATATGAAGAGCATGCCATTATCACAAAGCCGGCTGTACTTGCGATTAGAAAAAGAAAAATTTTGTGATCAGATGAAAAAAAAATTCCTTGACTATGTCTTTATTTTGAATGTAATATTATGATAATTACACGACGGATCAAGGTTACTATGTATGCATATCAATTCATGATTATTACAGTATCAACACATAAATGGGGTTGAGGTTGGCTCGGGTGGGGTGAGGCTTGCAAATTAAAAGAAGCTAATAAAAGTACAGTAATAATACAATAATAATTTGTTACCACTGGAAAGACATGTCAACTGTTATTTCCAATGTTAACATTTATCTTGTACCTTAATGCTTGCCACGCAATTATACATATTGTACTTTTGCAGCGCTGATAGGTCAAAATATTAATGACAAGTCTCTACTTAGATAAATTTTAGAAGTCACCAAATTTGATGGTTCTAGGGCAAGCTGTTTAGGTGCTATCAGAGAAGAAAATGGGCGTCGGCCTCAAAAGTATATATATATTAGACTAATACTATATAAGTTATTTACCAAGAAAAAGTTCCTCGGTTCCGGTAAGTCCCAAGTCACTAGCAGGCAGCAGCCACTGGAAAGGATCTGGTCGAAGGTAAGAGTTGTTTCCTAATGGAATGGAATACAGCGAACCGACCGCCGACGGCATGGACGTTGCCTTGCGAAATACCTGTCGGGAGGGGGCGCTGTTGATACCGAGAAATAAACGGAGTGGTATTCCTTCCACGTCAGGTGTGACGGTGACATGCACGGAGCTGGCACCTTCAGTAATTGTGAAGTTATGTACCTGAAAATACATGTTTCATGTTTCAAGTTTATTTACGAGGGCATACCTCAGATCCATTGATCTGATTTTCAGGTACCCCCTGGGCAAATACATTAAAACATACATTAATAAAAGTTACAAATTGAACACAACAACATATACATGTTACAACTCAGTCACAGTACAGGCACAGTATCTACAGTCTGTTTTTAAATGCTGACGATGATGTCAGTTTCCACTGATCAGCGGCTAGACTGCCATCGCCAACTTTGATGTCAGATAGCATTAGAACGGCTAACGGTACGGAAACCAAACTTCCCTAAAATATTGTTAGCAAATATTCTCACGGATCCCCCGAAAAAGCCCAGGTAGGTTAAATTTCAATCATGAGAGTTGCAGAAAGAACATCATGGTCACTTTCATCGTAATGAATTGTAATACCGTGGAAGCTTCAAGCAAACTTTGAAAGAATAAACTACCAAGAAGGTTTGAAGATCTGTAATGACTGCGAAAGTTTTCATACGGGACTCTCTTGAAAATGCATTTAATTTAATTGTGTAATGTAAATGCTCTTACAGTGAATGAAGATATATGTACTGCAGTTACAGTAATACAAGTATTTTCTCACCGACATGACGTCCTGTCCAGTCGGTGTGGTCTCCCCGCGCTCTGTCTGCACCACCACAGTACCTGGTTTCTGCGGCATCATGACGTCAATAGGAACTTGCAGGTCATTGACCTCAACCGGACCTGAATCACTTCTGAACTTCAGTGACGCCACGGGCGACTTGATCTTGTCCGAGTTGTTGGCGTAGAAGTACGGATTCAGGGATGTTTCGTAGTTCTGTGACATAGAGAAATGTACGTAGTTACGCTATGCTAATCATTTGCTGTTGTTGTGTCCAGAACCATGCTTTATCCAGAACCTTATAGTTTTGTATAGTTCACTTGTATAACATTATATATCCGGCACCGTGACAAGGGCATATCTACGTTCTTGGATACGCGGAGACTATCCAGAAACGTACCTGGTACCAACTGTAGCACGTTGAGTCACTAGACAAGGTTCTTTATACAATATTTTCAGAGAACAATTACTCGTCGACTTTTCTTTTGATCCTAAAAATCGACAGGCTCAATCCGGGCCCGGCTTATGGCTAAAACTATGGAATCATGTGACTAATGTTAGCATTAATACGATGCTACCAAGTCGTTTAATTACACATAGAATTGAATTGTTGGCTCTAATATTATTTCTGGTGGATTGCTTTGGAAAAGAAATGGATAATGACATAAGATATATCACCTCTATGGAAATAGATTGTCCACAAGAATGCCCAAAGAGAGTGGAGAATCCCGGGATGCGGAACCACGTGTCGCTCTGTCCCGTAGGCCTGACTATCTGGGGTCCCGTGTCACGACAACTCTGCCTCTGCAGGGCAATCTGGAAGGGTCCCTGACTGATCACTGTTGGCTTGGCGTCCGGTCGTTTCCGACTGATCACCAGTTCGCTCAGAGAGTCGATGACATCGATGATGCCATCCACTGCTTCCTTGGCCTTAAGCACAGTAAAGAGACAGATACTAAAAACTAAAGGTCACTTGAGCTGTATGGATTTCAGACTCAATTACGTTTCGTTTTCAAGTTGTTTCTCAGTATCACATTTTTGCAAGTTTCTTTCAGTAAGTTCAAACCTTCCTTACCACATTTTACTAGGGATTTGGTCACCATCTAGGGGCAAAGACGTTATAGCACTGCAAAAGATCACCCAAATACTACACCTACATAGTACATACACAAGAATATATTGCACATGAAAGCAAGCGGTAGCCCAGTGTTAGAGTGAGTTTGACGTTCAAATTGCACTTTTACCTTTGCAAGGTTGTTAGTGTCAGTGACGTTCTCCTCTGCAGAGTCGATGCCCTGGCCAGATGCTTTCGACGAACTCGCCAGTACGTTTACAACAGCTGCGGAAAGGAACGTAAAGGAACAATATGTTAGGGCCGTGTCACACATCTGCGTATCATCTTGCGTATGAGTCGCGTACGGACGATTTTTTCTAAACGGTGCCGAACGGAATATATGCGCTGAATTGGTTATGTATACGCAGTAACGTATTTTGCGTACTTTAGAAATGTCTATGCGCAAATCATACGCAATGGCGATACGCAAAAGTTTGACATGGCCCTTATGTGTGGTTTAGAAGGAAGAATTTGGATATTCGATATATAAATGAGAAGAATTTGTGGTTCATATCTTACCTGCGAACATAACGGAAGACGTCTTTTCTACTTGAGTTATCTCCAATTCCTCCGGAGGTAAGCTTTGCAGAAATTCCCCCATGTTCTTTAAGGACCTTGCGGTGGCAACCTAGACATTGATAAATGATTGTTTATTGTTTTCCACGGTTAGACTGTCCAAATCTTTGTTGATATATGTCCCGACATTTTCGATCAATGCTTATTTTCCTAATGGAGGGGGGTACACTAATTCTGTCTTGAACAAACACACAGAAGCCATATTTTGGGTATGCTATAATTGTTACTGAACAATAGCAGCGTAAGACACAATTAGGATTTTAATACATGTAGGACTATGTGCCAAATAGGTAATTTACTCAAGTTGCCACAAGTCTGATTACGAGTATAGTCAGCTTTGTGATAACGGTATGCTCTACATATGTTTCCTTTATCACCGTGCACATGAGAGACAACATATGTTTAACGTTTTTGGCAACGTCTCTGGGAGGAGTCTAAAGGTACAGTATTGTGTGCAATTCGCAAGAATTCTAGGAATCGTACAGACATATTGTCCACAGGAATGGAATGTCCACAGGCATGTCTCTGACCCACATCTACTAGTATGCCCAGATTCCTGGAAACCTTTGGGTAGACCTCTCTGCCCCGCATGGCCCCACTTTCTGTGATCCCGGGGCTCGTTCACTATCCACTCAGGGGAGGAGTGCACTGTATCTGTCTTCCTCAAATCATGAAATGATGCCAGTGCCATGCAAGCGATAACCCTAACAGCAACCACCGTCGCCATTGAAAAGTATGTTTTTATTGCCAGTCTTGTTTTTTTGTTGAATCGATTAATGCAGGCAAAAATTAACAGTTTCTTAATTTAAAGACGAGATGTCTTATTTACCTGCGCATCCGCTGAGACGTCGTCCCCCTCCGCTTGTGGCCGAGCCCCAGCGCGCTCGCTACAAGGTTCACAGACGACACGCTTGTAGGTTTGATGGTCGTCAATGCAGCTACCACAGCCTCTCTGACCTGTAGGGCATGAAAACAGTTCCAAAATGTAATATAATGTATATTAATAAAGGGTACTCAATTTCACAACATTCATGCAATGTATGGCAAAAAAACTATTGAACACATAGTGTGGTAAAGGCGGAACATCTTACTCGAATTCAATTATTAGACCAGCAAGGGCACTAACGTGAGTCTTTCATTAAGTGCAGCTGGAGAGGTTTACTAGCTCTTTCTAATAGCACGGGATATACAATATATATAACCTATTTTTGTGAGTTACGTCATCTGAAGACACATCTAAATCCTCCTGTAGTATCTGGCATCTTGAAATCTTGTTATCACTTGGTTTAAGAAATATGAAAAGCTTGTTTCCAAATTTCCCCAAAAACATCATATCTAGCTATCATATTTTCGCATGAAAAAGTTAAAATCAACCTTTGGCCAAAAACGGAAAATCTGTGGAAAGCTTTTTTAAGAATGTTAATCGTTTATTTCAGTTGACACCTCGCAGCCATTTGGCTGAATTACGTACAACTTACAAAATATCTCAAACTGAATCACATACAAATTAAAAGTGTTACAAAAGTTACGATAACTTACGAATATTGTAAATTAGTTTTGCGATAATTCCATATATGATCAATTTCTTTAAACAGTTCTGAATTGAGAGCAGACAACTACAGTATCATTCAGGTCTAAAATCTAAAATACTAAACACATTTCATTCAATTTAGGAGAAATGGCATTAGAAATGGTTATAACTATCCAAACCTCAGTGGCTGCCCTCCGTGTCTCGGCTGACGCGTTAGTCGGGACCGTGTTTAAGACAGACGTGACGCTGTTGGACATCTGCACCAAGGACTTGGCGTCTCCTTCCCGCACCAGCTGGGTTAGAGGACTGTTCTCCCCAACCACGAGCTGCGAGGCTACGGCTGTGGACTGTTCTGCTGGAAGTGCCACGACCTACAACATACATTATTTTTTTATATTTTATTTTAGTTTATCATATTTTATATTTGCATTACATATACGGTGAGCTGCGTTATAGTGAGAATTCAAGGATTGTGTCCATTGTCAAACGGAACTGCACAGTAAGAAACAACTACCTTCATGCTCCTGTGTGCTAAGGACATACGTACAAGTCATTGCATAAAGCAAATTTTGTAAAAGTTTTTTAAAACTTTTAAAAAGACTTTATTCTACATTTACATGTGTATTTCAGACCGATATGAACTAGTATGTACAACTTCAGCTTATTCTCTCTGTATATGTATGAACATATGGATGTTGACTTATAATGCATAGTTTATCCAATACCATAAGGAATACGAATTTCCCTGTTCGATATAATGAACTGCATTATTTTTGGCGACGTCTCGGGGAGGAACCTAATGGTATAGCATTGTTTGCAATTGGCAAGCATTCTAGGAATTGTAAAGGCATTTTGTCCACAGGCTCTGTTTGTCAACATTCCCACATTCCTGGAAACCCTTGGGAGAAACTGTCTGCCATATGCCCTACATGTACCTTCTGTGACCCCGGGGATCGTTCACTATACACTCAGGGGAGGGGAGGGTACAAGGCTTCCTCAAAAT